GGAGCCACAGCTGCTAGAACCACAGCAGGAGGGTTGGCAGCAGCTGGAAATGCAGCAAGTTGGCCTGCAGCAGGTGGTCTGACAGCAGCTGGGTTGGCAGCAGGTGGTTCTGCAGCAGGTGGGCTGGCAGCAGCTGGGTTGGCAGCAGGTCTCCTGGGAGAGGCCTTGATCACAGCCCTGGTCAGAGCAGACAGAGCCACAACAGGAGCTGACCATGGTGTCAGAGGGTGGAGGTTCTGGGTGTGTTTCCAGAAGAGTGAAGTTCTTGAGTCTGGAAGTCTTCTCACCCCATGTCCCCTTTTATACTCTTCCGAGGGGCTGCTGGCATCAAGTACGATATACTTCCTTGTTATTGTTTGTCCTAATAAATAGGTAATTATCAAATCAGGCAAGTTTGTTTTCCTGGTTAAATTTTTCAAGATGGATGGAAAATACTGTTTCCTTTCCTGCTGTGTGAGGATTCATCCCATATCCTCTTCCTTAACCGCCTCTTATGTGCCTTTCTTGCTTTAGTTTCCTCTGAGAGCTGTCACATGTCACATGACATTCTGCCTCTATATGTGTCAGTCTCATTTTGCATACCAATCATTTGGGTGATAATGATTCTTATAGGCCCACAATTCTTTTTGGTGACCAGGTGGATAAAACTGTTTTAGTCTAATGGCTCATTCATTGTGGGCCAGGTGGGCATAGAAGGTCTAAGTGTATTACCTGCCTGTGAAATGGGATCACAGGCATGTGAATCAGAAGACTATTAAGTCATCCCCCTCCACACTGCACGACCCACATTCTAGACTTTTGATGGGAACTCTTGAGAGGGAAAACTAATTCCTAAATTCTTGTCTTTGTTTTTCTTTAGAAATAAATCTCCCTGAGTTTTAGGACCTCTATGAAGGAGTTTCTAACTTCAAAGTGGTTAAATCACTGAGCTGGTAACCAAAAGGTGGGCATTTTGAACCCACCAGCTGTTCCACAGCATGAAGATCTATCAGTCTACTTCCATGAAGATAGCCTTGGAAACCCTATAGGATAATTCTACTCTCTCCTGTAGGGTCATTATGAGTTGAAATCAATTTGGCAGCAGTGGGCTTCTTTGGATGGGTGAAGACAGATGCAGAGATAGCCAGCAACTGTCTATAAAGTTCAGGTCCCTTGACTTTGATCGTGGGGCAGATTTTTCTTCTGACTCTGACTTACACTCCTCCAGGTTTTAACAAGGCCTATGAACTCACACATACCTCTTCCAAGTTTTCTTGCCAACCCCGGTTAGCTTGCCCAGAGTCCTTTCCTCTTATTCTAATTCATATCTCTGCTCAGTTGCTGGGCTCAGAAGATGCCAGCACACAGTCTTCTGCTCCATTATTCAGGGTTGATCAGATTTCACCCTCTAGGCTTTTCTCTTCAAGAAAGGAGACAGAAAGCAGATACCTAGATTAAAGGGTAACAACTTTAAAAAAAAAAAAAAAATCATAGTGAAGATGAAGGAAAAGGTAAAGGGTGCAAAAATGTACAAACAAATGACAAATGTCTCAGAAAATGAGGGGTGCTGCCAGTATGTGTGTGTGTGTGTGTGTGTGTATGTATGTGTGTATCTTGCGGATTGAGCCAGCCAAGGGAAGGAAGAGGACATTTGCTTCCTGGAAAATTCTGTCTTTGAATATTATTCCAAATATGTGTCATTTTCCATTTTAGCATGGTCTTCATGTCTTAGACTAACCTGGCCTGGTCTCTCTAAATTCAATCATGGGCATCTCAACTTTGTTGAGAAACTTTCTATAAGAGGCATTCCTCGAAATATTTGGAGGCCCTGAAGTTGGGTGGAGTGAATATGGACTGTCAGGATCATGGGCCCAAATGCTTCAGTCGTCCTTGTAGAAGAGACTGAATCTAACAGCATGAAATGTCCAAGCCAGTCTTAGAGCTGAAAAAGTAGTCATTCATGCACCATGGTGCATGACATTGTGTATGAGTAAATACATCTAACTTAACTGAGAAAATTTATTTTAAATACTCACAGACCCTAAGGTTGTGTCCACCCTCCAAAATCCTTCTCAGGTATAATATTACCACAAAATGAGCCCTATTATATACCTGGGATTGGTTAGAAGAGATTGAGAAGAGATTGAAGTAGTTTGTAATGAAAAAGTTAGGTGTTTACAAGGTAGTATCTTCAGTATAAGTCCACACTTATTGTTGACCATTTCCTGCCAACAAACCCTGAATGCAAACATGGATACATTGATGGAGTTATGGTATTTATACCGGAGGAGAATGCAGGCCTAATCCCGCATAAGCATTCAGAAACATCTGAGAAATGCATCTAATTTGAGGCTACATAAAAACAATTGAGATAAATTATGGTATATTGAAAGTAAAGTTGATGTGATTGTGGTAGTTAAGTTTGTATGTCATCCCGGCTGGGCCTGGTTGAGTGGCTGGGCAGCTGGATGCAGTTATTCCCCAAGGTGAGACTGGCAATCAATTCCATGATGGAATCTACTGGAGTGTCTGAGTAGCTGCTTTAGGGATGTGGACTGCTTCCAGTAGATAAGAGAAGCTTTGAAGAAGATCTCTAGCTTTTTGGCATGCTTGGACCTTCATGTAGCCAAGTTGTTCTTCAGCAGCCTGCCATGCCCTGCCGGTCTCAGGACTTTTTCTGGACTTGAATTAGTGGCCTGTCGTGTTGTTTGGTGACATCGGTACTGTGCCTTTTTACTTGAACCTTGGGTTTGTCAGCCTCAGCAGCCAGCAGCTGCCTGAGTAAAGGAAGGCCTCCAGCTTCAGTGGGCTGGGAGCAGGAAGCTGAGCAGAAGGCCAAGGTTGAGGGCCTTTCACCCAACCCCTGAGCCTGGCACTTTGACCTCAGACTTAAAGCCTCCAAACGATAAAAGAATTAACTCCTGTTTGTTCAAGCCATCCCATTTGTGCTATATTTCTGTTAGAGCAGCGCAAGGACCTCTAATGCCTAAGGCATTTAACTGCTAACAGAAGGCTAGTGGTTCAAA